GTGTGCGATAACCAGTGATAACCAGTCATATCTGGAGTGTGTAATTCAGGGAGACTTGTATAGCTCCCGCATTATTAGTACGTGAAGACTCTCGAAGAGAGTGTGAAGAGATTTTGTTCTAGGGTTTGTAAAGTGTGGAAACCCGTAACATTGTGATAATTAATTGTAGCCGTTATTTGTAGATTGTTAAATAAACCAATTAACCATCTCTACGGCGTCTTCAGTAACGTAAACACGTTACACTGGTGTCAGAAGTGGGATCAGTAACGAAACACGTTACAGTATTTTAGGGTTAACAACAATAATGCAACAACATTAAAATATATTAAGATATAGTCCAGTGCAACAGATTTCAAAAAGTGAACAACTGTCTGAAGATGGCCAAGTATGGCTGAAACATGTAGCAAATGATTATGAGTTTAATGTTATTTTAAATTAGGGAAAGACTATGAATTTTTTTAGTTGCATTAAAGACGGAAGTGAATGAGTGAGTGATACATCAATGTAACAGCATGCTCAAATAAAAATCTTCTATACCAAATTCCTTAACAACATAAAACAGATAACAAAAATCAGCTTAAAAGAAACTTAAGGACTTACTAAGGGGTGCCATTATTCAATAGAAGATTATCTCAATGAAGAATTCTGTAATATTGGCTACTGATAAGCAGATGTATAGAATAAGCAATATTTCTAACAGGTTTAAGCCATAATCATTGATTGATTGATTGATCAGTAACTGTCAGATGACAGGTCCACAGTCTCTTCCAAAACAGTTCCTCCACTTAATGTGATCTTCTGTTTTTGGAAAGAGACTGTCCAGGAAAAGTGATAATGTGGTAGTTTTTCCATTTGCTTTCCACATCGCAGTACAACAGCCGTTCAAACCACTCTGGTCACGCCTGTTGCTATACGAACTTGAACCATCTCGAGCATCATTTGTTCTGTGCTTCAAGTCGCTGCTGATGACGCTGCTTCCGGCATCAGTTTTTGGTTTTTGGTGTCTCTCTTCGTCTGATGCCTACCCTTTGACCTGTCCAGCAAGGGAGGCCCTGCCAGTAGCTACGCTACCGCTGGTATAGCTCTCAGGGTCCTTGGCATACTCAAACCCCCTCACCACGATAAGGTGGTGAGGGGGTCCATAATCATTAATGTAGTTTAATAGTAATATACATGGAAAAGACTTATATTAATGTATTTTGATCTCCAAAAAAAAGTAAAAATGGATTCATTCCTACGAGATGAGAGCTTGTCAAATCTAAAACAAGTAGATGGTAACAATGCTTTCAATAGCTCATATATAGCATTGAACAATAAGGTTCCAGCCTCCTATTCAATGGGTCCTGGGAGTAAAGCAGCCAGGGCATGAAGCTGCCCACTCACCACCACCCCGTGCTATGGGAAAGAATGGTGGAACTATACCTCCACTCCATCCCCTATGCCCTAACAGTGAGGGACATATAATGAAATATGAATGCCTGGTGGTGCTAACTTCCTGAAACTTAAATTTCAATTCACATTTTGTACCACTCCATAGTACCTTCTATGAGCCAGTAGAGTGCAGTTGGTAGAGCGACAGGCTACAGGCTGGATGATGGAGGGGCTGGAGTTTGAGTCCTGATAGGGGTCAAGAATTTTCTCTTCTCCATGTCATCGAGAACGGCTCTGGAGCCAGCCCAGCCTACCATCCATGGGTACCGTGGGCTCTTTCCCTGGGAGTAAAGCGGCAGGGGCGTGAAGCTGACCACTCACCTCCAACTAGTGCCAAGGTCAAGGAAATGTGGAACTACACATCCACTCCCCCATATGCTTTCATGGGGTAGTGCTTAATTAGTTGGGCACATGAACAACTTTACCATAGTACCTTCCAGCAAATGAGAAGGCTGAAAGTGGCTGATTTTGGAATATAAGGGTATTTTATGACATAAACTAGTGCTACGTGCATCAATGGACATAGCCCTGTAACCGCATTTTCATGTTCTATGTGTATGATGAGAAAAAAACTCAGTGAAAATAAATTACTTTTGCTTTATAGTTTATGCCTCCAAACTCTAATATTGATTAGTTTCGAACTATTAACAGCATACATATATTTCCAGAACGACCTGCTTAACAATCATCAATAAGGAAAATACCTAAATCGGCATATGGCCTACAAGCTTACTGTCATGCTCTACTTGCATTTTACAAATAAAACAAAAATCAAGGCAACAGTGGCAATACTGTACACACTAAAAATATACCACATGACATAACTTACAGTCACATATATATCTAATCAAATCATCATGTTGCGTGGGTGATGCTTCTTGTTGCACTCTTTGGGAATTTGGTCGTTTTCCATTCAGGGACTGCATTTGAGCCCGTGGCAAGCTGCAAAACACAATACAGTTACACATAACACTAAGACTGCAATCAAGTACATAATTCGCATTAATATTTCTGGTACCTTATTCACCTCATTTTAAAACGATTTCCCTCCTCTTGAGCGATGTGTCAACTTTCGATCGAATCGCTCCTGTCACAAATCCTGAAACATAATTAAATTCTTGGAAGGAATGTGTAATTGAACGGCCATAAACTATTTTTTAAGAAAACATACGAGTAAAATTATTTAAAATATCAAAGACAAATAACAAGTCTCTCGTCAAAGCAAGGCACTTAAACACTTCGTGCCAGATACAATGATTAGCTGCAACCGGAAGAGCACAGTATGGCAGTCAAATACGCGATTACTATTATATAATAGTGCCTAATGAGTATCTAAAAGTAACTAAACGCAATTATATACGATGAAAAATAGTAAATACGATATACCATAATGAGGATAAAAACACGACATATGATTTACTTGACTTTACTAAGTATGTGGTACCATCTATTGACAAAAAATTACAACGGCACATGATATCATCATGGAGATGGGTACATTCGAAATTTTTTTTTCTTCACATTCAGTATACATCATCTGCAGTGCCTGCAATAAATGAATATGTTCAATAAATACGGGCTCGTGAATGGGCTATGCCCAATGGCGTAACTCATATACTCGATGTTTTGTGTTCGCTTTGGTATCATTTTAATTCTTGTATTGGGGTTTCATTCAGTTCTGTCTGGTAGAGTTTGAACGGTGTATCTTTTCAGTCTATGTATAGAGCCGCTATGTTCAATAAATACGGGCTCGTGAATGGGCTATGCCCAATGGCGTAACTCATATACTCGATGTTTTGTGTTCGCTTTGGTATCATTTTAATTCTTGTATTGGGGTTTCATTCAGTTCTGTCTGGTAGAGTTTGAACGGTGTATCTTTTCAGTCTATGTATAGAGCCGCTATGTTCAATAAATACGGGCTCGTGAATGGGCTATGCCCAATGGCGTAACTCATATACTCGATGTTTTGTGTTCGCTTTGGTATCATTTTAATTCTTGTATTGGGGTTTCATTCAGTTCTGTCTGGTAGAGTTTGAACGGTGTATCTTTTCAGTCTATGTATAGAGCCGCTATGTTCAATAAATACGGGCTCGTGAATGGGCTATGCCCAATGGCGTAACTCATATACTCGATGTTTTGTGTTCGCTTTGGTATCATTGTAATTCTTGTATTGGGGTTTCATTCAGTTCTGTCTGGTAGAGTTTGAACGGTGTATCTTTTCAATCTATGTATAGAGCCGCTATTGTCTAGGAGGTTCACTGCTAGTGCATTAGTGTGGTTTTCTAATTTTATTAAGTTGAGCACTGTGTTCATTTGTAGATGTTCCCAGATCCAATTGTTTATGACACAAGGTGCATTCAGAATGGATCGGAGAGTCTTGGATTGAAAGCGCTGGAGGATTTCGATGTTGGAAATGGAGGCTGCCCCCCCCCCCCTAACCGCATCTGATGAATTCCAAAGGTCCATATGGGTTTGAGTATTGCTTTGTACCAGAGGAACCAATGATATTGACCAAATTTTTGTCTTGGCTTGGTATGGTAGTCAGCAGGGGTATGCAGCCATGTTAGTGGAAAGATAAACATGCAGTCCCGACATCTAATGGTAAGGCTTTCGAACTACTTGAACCAAGTATAGACAAATAATTTCAATTATTCCCGAAAGACATCACAGGTTTGCTTATCTGATTCAATAAGACTGCTCGATATTCAAAAAGTTGGCTGTGAATTATTAGCTGCCACGGTGGGTTTGAATACAACCTGCTCCAGTATCACTTTTGGCAGCACAAATCCCATATTAAATGAATTGATTCTGGACTGCATCATGAAGAGCCAGTGGCTAAATACCTGAGATATGGCATGGCTGACACCCAAGGGATTCTGTGGCCATAATTTCATGTGAAACCCAAATCAGAACTTACAGCCTAGAATTATGATTACAGTATTCTGGGATGTGACACAACATACTTTGACAGATATGTACCAAAGAGTTGGACAAAGCTGCAGAAATTTGGTACGTTTTAGTGTGTATACATTTTTTGGGGGGCCCGTTTGTAATAAACTGTCAAAAAGTACAACGAATCAGTGTCACCAACCTCCAGGCATATGAATATCATAAAGCAGGGTTCACTTCTTTCCTCCCTCCACCACGGATCACTGGACGTACCTGTAACTAACTACCTGGAGCTCAGACCTTCTTGCACAGCTGCCACTTGCTCAGCCACTCACAGACTTCCCAGCATTTCATGTAATCTGCACCCAATCAATCCAGCGTATACAACTACTTGCCTGTAGTCACACATTATTAAGTCATGGGTGAACCAGGGTACGGCTAGATACACCATCTACATCAGTTCAGGGCTTGCATATACATGTACAGCTGTAATATTTTTTTCTTACTGCACAACCACTTCATGCCTGTCATCACAGATGACCAAGTCGTGGTTGAGGGCCGTGCCATAGCTCAAGCGGTTAGTTGCTGGCTTCCCACTGCGGTGGCCCGGGTTCGATCCCAGGTCTGGTCAAGTGGGATGTGCGGTAGACAAAGTGGTGCTGGGGCGGGTTTTCTCCGAGTACTTCAGTTTCCCCTGCCAATCTTCATTCCACCAAATTCTCCATCATCATAATCACCCGGGGCAGGCTACAATAGGCCAATCAGTGGCTGCCGTGCCAAGTGGACCCAGTTGGACTCCAGCCCTCACTAAGCGAATTAAAAAAATAAGTCGTGGCTGAATCATAAAGGAACTAGAAAGGGTCTCTCTTTTTAAGTCAGTTTGAGGCTTGTATATACAGTCACGATTTAGGGGCATGACTATATACAGGATATGAATTTGTGAATGGATTTATTGAACACTCACGCCACTCAAACCTGCAAGTAATTACAGCACTGTCGCTAATCTCCACACTTTAAAAATCAGCAGAGCACCCTCTAAGACTTTTCCAGGCTGCTTTGTCTTCATCAGCCACTCCTTGGCAACGGCATCTAACAGCTTCATGCGCTCAACACCTTTCTTCATAGCCGTGCAGATCTCAAATTTCAACTAAAAACTAACAACTAACTCTTTTCTTCACATGGTGACTTTCAACTGGATCACCGAAATTGTCTTTCTTATAACCACTTTGTACAGGCCAAGTAGAAAACACCGTTTCCAGCAGTAACTCATATGCTGTGTTCATAATCGTTGCCGTGGGAACATGTTTAAGATCTGTTGCCTAGAAACAGGTTGCATAACACCGTTTATCCACCTACTGCATAGCAACAGCTTACATGCTACAGTATGACCAGTTGTATTTATTTTACTGCTGTGTAGCAGGCCTCATTCCTCTGCTTTTCTGTAAAAATTGTCCAAAAAGTTGGCTGATATATCCAATGTGTTGCTGCCGAGGATAGCAAAAAATGGAACTACAATAAAATTTTGCTGCTGGTACTGCAAACAATGGATCGGCCATAATAATATAATGATCCTAAATGTACCACAAATGTCCTTGGATCATGTTGCCTCTGTGTCAATTAGAACACCCCGTTATACCTTGAGTCATTTATCAAAAAAACAGCAGTAAATTGAAATTAAAACATAAATAAGTATAAAAAATTCATGCAATATGTTGGGCCATTTACCACAATAACCAGAATGTAAGGTACATTAATGTAACAATCGAATAACTACGGCCAATTTGACTCTGATGCTTTGTACTGTGAACTGTATACCTGACTCAGCACTAGATGGGAGTGGTCAGCTTCTCACCGCTGCAGCTTTATCCTCTGGTGTCCACTGTATAGGAGTATGGGTGGGCTCCAGAGGAAGTCTGCACATTTCAAAGAGAAGAATGTCTTGCCCCTGCTGGGAATCAGAACCCAATCCTTTTGTAATACAGCTTGTAACCTAGATGACTGAGCTAATGAACTTCACTTATTCTCTCTCTCTCTGAATGACACAACAGCAACTTTGAACGCTATATGGAATGAGATGCTGAGAGCATCCTTAAAGAAACTACAATTATAGGACACTAATTTGAAGTTAAAAGTTTTGGTTTGATTTAATGTCATGGTTCACCTTTAAAGTTCTAATTGTCAAAAGTAAACCAGAATAACAGCTTCATAAAAGTAATAACTTAATTTTACATGGCAGTACATTCAAAAGTTAAGACTGCCACTGAACTGATCGAGCGTGAACTTATATGATCTAATGGGGCCCATACACATGCTTTTCTTGTACACTGTGCAATAAGGTTGATAAAAAGGCAGTTCTTTTCTTCTGGGGGGGGGCACGGAGTCACTCTGATATGACACCAACTTAATTATCTTAGAAGGATATTGCAGCAGGTGACTCCAACTAACGAAATTTTCTTCTTGAAGCCAGAACTAAATATACCATGCACCTTCACTCGCTCATGAAGCTGAGCCCTTCTTGAGGAGCCAGCAATTCTACACCTACTCAAGAATTTCCCAGCATTTTATGGAACCCAAAGGTTCATTACCATGTTCACCAGAGCCCTCCAATCCAATCCATACTATCCCATCCTATCTCTTGAAGATCCATTTTAATATTGTCCACCCACCTACGGCTTGGTCTTCCAGTGGTCTCTTTCATTCTGGCTTTCCCACCAATATTGTACATGCATTCCTCTTCTCCCCATTCGTGCTACATGCCCTGCCCAGCTCATTCTCATTGACTTAATCATTCTAATTATACTTTGAGAAGAGTACAAGTTATGAAGCTCCTCATTATGCAGTTTTCTCTAACCTCCTGTCACTTCATCTCTCTCTGGTCCGAATATTCTCCTCAGCACCCTATTCTCAAAGAGTACAATATGATACCCTTAATCTATGTTCCTACCTTAATGTCAGAGACCAAGTTTCACGCCTATACAGAACCAAACCAATGATGAAACTTTTTCTTATAAAAATCAGTACCCAGGAAAACCTACAGAGCAGAATTCAGAGGACCCACATTTTTAAATCTGTTACATAAGGATTTTCTTTGTATTGAGGTGAAACCATGTATCTTATGGGGACCAGGATTTCATATTAAGGACTTTTGTTTTATGGAGGTTTTGTTAAGCTGACTTCCAAATGTGCAACCTACAATTTGTTTTACTTAAATGGCATCTTTTGTAAAAATGAGCTGCCATCTTGAAGCTAATATATAAATGTCCCAAGGTGAGTACAATCAAGAAAATGGCCAATGCAGTAAAGGTATTGCCAATAAAGATACAATAATTCTGATTGAATATTACACTGTGATATTTGCAACAATGCCTCACAGAAGTCTGTGGGCTGACATATAAAAATGTTGGCTTAAGTGGCAATGCTTCTGACTTGTACTCAGGTTGTGTCCCAGGGTAGTGTAGTTGGTTTAAGCACTATGCTACAAGCTGGAAGGTTGCGGGTTCGATTCCTGATGTGGTCATTGGATTTTTCAATTTTACCTAATCCTTCCAGCTGCACTATGGCCCTGGGATTGACTAAGCCTCTAACAGAAATGAGTACCAGGAATCTTCCGGGGGGGGGTAAAGGGCAGCCGGGGTGTAAGGCTGACAACTTTACTGACATCTGTGAGCTGACGGTCTAGAAGTTGTGGGAGCCTCAATGTCTCACAACCCTATGGGCCTCCCTGTTACAGGGATAAATTTACCTTAGTCAAGTTGTACAAGACTCCAATGTTGCCCAGGCCAATACATACCCTTATACAGAGCTTCCATGCTTTCCTTTAGTCCCACTTCAAACTAGGCCACGACTATTTCCTTGAAAATCCTTTCAAGTTCGTTACTCATTTATCACCCTATTATATGATGATACACACTAATGACTGAGAGAAATAGTGTTAGAATAAAGTTTATGGGTCACAGGTATGGAAGTGTGAGAAGTTATGTTATTTCTGCAAGTTATGTATACAAATCATGAAGATACGTTTTACTGGGCACATTCAAACTTTTTCTATGTACATACATTACGCACTTAATCTACAATCACTTACACACAAATTAAGTTGAGTTTATAATTAATTTTGTTAACCATCAGTCAAAATATGATACAAATTTAACACCGACCTAAAACTGTATACTTGTGGACACTTGTTGGTATAATAAACATCACTTGATCATTATTTCGTATCAAATCCAATAGTATTACCATACATAATACTGAAGAATTCTTGCAAAGAGCAAAAGAAACATTTCTTCTTCCTCTTCCAGTCTAACTTATAACAATAATCTATCAGTTGAAAAGTACCATCTTATGCGCTGTGATGGTATGTAGTCTTCCTGTGGCTTCTCCAAACGTTGGTAAACTACACCACACAACATCACATCCCAAAAGATGGTACTCTTCATAATCACTGCTATGGGAACCTCAAATCTAACAGTTTTCCAATTACACTGATCAGCATTTAACATGCAAACTTTAACTGAAGTGAACACAAGAAATTATCTCAAATACAGCAAACATACAATGACACATCATTTGCATTGTTTTATCGTTGCAGTAATGAAACTCAATTCAGAACATTTATACGATATTTTACAATATCTGAATCACATAACTTCACTGTTAGAGCTCTTCTTATTAAATACTGTAATCAACTGAACATAAATACTACTCCAAGTCTTCCTTCAGTAACGGAAACCTGATACGGAATACCATACAGTAATAAGTGTACAGTCTACACTGCTATATATGAATATTAATAGAACACTTTTTATATTGTCATTATATATTTCAGAGATAAAAAGACTCAATATGACTTAGTCTTATACGTTTCAGATACAGTCACTGCACACCACACTATTCTGCCATGAAGGCACTGAAATGTACATGTGTTATTTTGCGCCTGCCTGAAGTACAATATATGAAACAACTTCAAGCAATAGTTTGTCAAATTGTCACAGAAGGATTACATAAGAAATATATGTAACATTTAATAATGCAATCATTCCATGGAAAATCAACACATCTAAAAGTAAAATTTATACTTCACCATCTCAGATTATGATGAAGTTTCGAAATGTATCACACATATTAGTCCCATATCCTTTTTCTTTTAATTTTGACATATGCTTGTGTAATATGTGAATTGTAATTACATATCTTTAACACCTATAATGAGATGAACCCAATTATGTTACCAATGTAAATTTATCAATAAGGTTTACCTGTAAAGAGAGTGATACCACATGTATAGGTAAACTCTCTAAAACCTAAAGTAACAATGTACTTTAATTATATTGTATTCACTTTCAGTAAGATTTGTAAGACAGCTGTTTTTCTCAATGAGGAAACAAGAGACCGATAACCTTAGATCCTCTAAGGTTAAGACGCTTAAATGTCCCAAACATAACATGTGCTGCTTATGACTGTCGCTCCACGTGCCTGTACTTTGGTCCTGATCTGGGGTGTATAACCGAAATCTCACTAATACGAGCATCTGCCTCGTGTCATCCAGATTGCGTCAGATTCCACTGTCATGTGCCCAGGCTTTTGGCCGAGCCAACGCCCAGATTATTACTATAAGTACAGAACCTTACGATGGGACGACATCAGACTTACTGATCACGTTGCTGAACGAATCTCTGTTCGCCGACGTTAGGAGTTGTTATCTGGGCCGTGGACCCTCACATCTGTATCTTCTGTACCTACTGTGTCTTTGAGGAGTCTAGTAAACTTTGTCGTCTCTTCAGCATCCAGAAAGACTTAGATCTTTTTGCTGACCTACGCCATACCTCATCCTTTATTTTCGACAACTAGAGCTTCAACAGGTGACATCTCTTCTGCTGGCGGAATTCATCACCTGGTGCTAGCACTACTAAAGAAAAGAATTACATTACATGGTGGCAGCGTTGGTGGGATAGGTGCTACAGGTCGTTGCTGATTGAATTCTAACAACACCGAGAATCGACAAAGAGGTTGTAAACCGGAAGGGCCGGAGAGACTTGAAGACGCCGAGGCGGATTCGAGCCCATTTCGAGGAATCAACGCTCCGGAGGAAGCCCAGGGCCCGGGATACTCGGAAGGAACAACCGCAGATTCCAGTGATCAGAAGCTTCCATTAGCGGCCTTTGCTGAATCTCGAGGGACAGCCTAGGTGACGAGCCGGAAAGCAGCAGTCAACGCGAGAGGAGCTTGGAGTCAACCCGAGGGAACAGCTTCAATTCTCCAAACTTTGACCTTCTGATCACCCTTCGTTCTTCTATTTCCAAAGGTTAGTCCACACCACTATGGCAGACGAGGAAATTGAGTTTATATCTGTGGTTCAGGCAGTCAAGCTGATTTCTAGGACATTTGATGGGAACCCTAAACATTTACGCGAATTTTGTGAAGGAGTTGAGGCAGCCAGACAGGTCGTACACCCATTACATCAACCACTTTTATTAAAGTTCATAGAATCCAAAATTACTGGAGAGGCTAAAGACAGACTGTTAGCTAGGACCGAGAGGAATACGTGGGAGCAGATCAAAGCTATACTTGAGGAAAATTACGCAGTAAGGAGAACCCTTGAGTACTATGCAAGTTTGTTATTTACCACAAGACAAGGAGTAAATGAAACTGTAGCTCAGTGGGGCTCGAGGATAGACAATATGGGAGTAGACCTGATGAGGGAAGCTAAAACTAGAATCGAAAAAATAAATCCCCGTGCTGTCGATGGAGGGACAATTCTAGTATCAGAGTTTATGAAAGGATCCTTCATAGCAGGACTGAAAGATGACAGGATCAAATATATTGTTAAAGCAAAAGGGGAGGAAAATTCATTGGCCCAACTCGTAGAGACAGCATTGCAGGAGGAAAGTGAAGTAAAATCACAGAAATTCAAGGGGAACCAAAACAGTTTGAACTGGCCGAACGCAGGGAGTTATGGAGGAGTAAGCAGAGATTACAGACCCCAAGTAAAGAGGGAGGTTCATGCAGTAACCTCGATGAAATGTTATAGGTGTCAGCGTGCAGGGCACTTGGCAGTTAATTGTAGGAGTAAGCCTACATGTGGTACATGTCACAGGATAGGGCATGTTAGTAAGGATTGTAGAGCAAGGGGCTCTCAGGGAAATGGGCAGTAGGGTGTTCTGCGCAACCGAGAATCACCTGCCCGATAGGTTGCGGTGTAAATAATAAAGATGTTGTGTTAAGCCAGAAGGACGCTTCTGAGTTTTTAAGGTCTGACGAGGCCGTAGGGGATTCAAAAGGGATCATCGGGGATGGTCATGAGGATTCACCTGGAATCATCAGGGATGATCAATTGGGGATTGCAGGAGTCAATTCCACGAAAATTATGAGAGATGATTTATTAGGCCACTATGAAGTATACGTAGTGAGCAGAGAATTAAAAGGGGAGTTAGGGGTCGCTCTCTTAGATACAGGATCGCAAGTATCCTTAGTAAAAGAATCATCGTTGATAAAATTTAGTAAGGAGAAGGATAAGAACCTTCGAATATGCGGTGTAACAGGAAAACAAATGGAGATAAAAGGGAAAGTAAAATTAAGAATTGAAAACACATTAGAACCTTTATATCAAATATGCTATGTTGTTGACAGTCTGCCGAGGAATTTAGACATTATCCTTGGACAAGATTGGTTGGATAATGCAGGGTATGGTTTTCAGAAGAAAACACCAGTCATAATACCTCCATATAGTGAGCAGGTTATAAAATGTAAGACACTTGAAAAGGGAGTTCGCTTTATCGAACACCAGATCCTTCAACCAGGGTTAATTTGTGCAGCTAGTTTAGTTAATTGTGAAACTTTTGAATTTCCATGTTTAGTGATGAATTTAACTGATAAGCCAATATGTATGACGGCAGATCCCAAACTAGAGAAACCACCTACTATGTTGCACAGGCAAAATTTCAAAAACCAAACGAATAGAATAAAGAGGTTGCAATTACTGAAGGAAAATTTAAGACTAGACCACATCACAGAAGGGGCAAGTGACATTAGGAAGATCTGCGAAGAATACGTAGATATATTCAAACTACCTGGGGACTCGCTGACTGCTACATCAGCGGCAGAACACACGATTCCGACACCGACCATTCCAAAAGGTAAGGCTATTACATTGAGAAATTACAGGTTACCGGAGGCACAGCAACAAGAGATAAAAAGACAAGTGACACAGATGTTAGAGGAAGATATAGTGACACCCAGTAACAGTGGATGGAATTTCCCATTACTAGTGGTACCTAAAAAATTGGATGCGTCAGGAAAACGAAAGTGGAGAATTTGCGTAGACTTTAGAAAATTAAACGAAGTCACGGTTGGTGATAGCTACCCACTACCTAATATTCAGGACATATTAGACAAACTAGGAAGAGCCAGGTATTTTACGGCATTAGATTGCGCCAGCGGTTACCTACAAGTACCAATCGCTGAAGAAGATAGGTGTAAAACTGCTTTTAGTACAGCAGATGGGCACTTTGAGTATAAGAGAATGCCGTTTGGTTTAAAGTCAGCTCCTAGTACATTCCAACGTATGATGAATAACGTATTATCTGAATTGATTGGAAACAGATGTTTAGTATACATGGATGATATTTTGATTATAGGGGAAACCTTAGAAGAACACAATTCCAAACTACGGGCTGTTTTTGAAAAACTTCACGAATCTAACTTAAAGATCGAACCAGATAAGTGTGAATTTTTGAAGGAAGAATTGAGTTATCTAGGTCATATAGTTACAGCCGAAGGTGTTAAACCAGATGATAAAAAGATTGAGGCAGTAGTGAAATTTCCAATACCACAATCACAAAAAGATGTAAAATCATTTTTAGGTCTTGCAGGCTATTATCGTAAATTTATAGCTGATTTCAGCGCAATTGCCAGACCTTTAACAAACTTATTAAAGAAAGAAAATGAGTGGAACTGGACAGAAAAAGAACAAACAAGTTTCGATCTATTGAAAATTAAGCTAACCAATACTCCTTTATTACAATACCCCGATTTTAGTAAGCCTTTCATTTTAACGACAGATGCTAGTGGATATGCAATAGGCGCTATCCTTAGTCAAGGCAAGTTAGGACAAGACAAACCAATAGCGTACGCTAGCAGAACATTAAACAAAGCAGAGTTAAATTATGCAACAGTGGAAAAAGAACTTTTAGCTATAGTATGGGCATGCAAACATTTTAGACCGTATTTGTTAGGACGCAAATTCCAGATAGTGACAGACCATAAGGGTTTGACATGGATATTTAACGTAAAAGACCCGAGTTCACGACTGATGAGGTGGAAATTATTGTTGGAAGAATACGATTATGAGATTCAATACAGAGCAGGGCATAGGAACTGCAATGCAGATAGCTTAAGTCGCTATCCAATTCAGTGTTTCAATGTGAATGTAGAAGAAATAACTAATGAAAGAAAGCAGAAAATTATTGCAGAAATGCACAACTGTCCCGTAGGAGGTCACCAAGGTATCCAAAGAACAATAGAACGTATAAAATTATACATTTCATGGCCTGGGTTAGAACAAGACGTGATAAAGTACATACGAGAATGCAAGACGTGTCAGTTAAATAAAGAAACACGTCCCAACATCAAATTACCTTTGACAGTTACAGACACAAGGAACATCCCATGGGAAAAGGTATACTTAGATGTGGTAGGACCTTTACCTACAACGGAAACTGGCATGAAATACATTCTGACATGTCAAGACAATCTTAGCAAATATTTTATAGTTATACCTATGCAGAATCAAACAGCAGATGAAGTCACTGATGTTTTTGTTAAGAATATTATATTAAGTTATGGAATCCCCACAGAAATTGTGACAGATCAGGGATCTAATTTTATGAGTGACGTTTTTAAGCGAATTTGTAAGTTATTCCAAATTGAGAAAGTATGCACAACAGCATACCACCCAGAGAGCAACGGAGCCTTAGAAAGGACACACAAGACTCTTACCAATTATTTACGTTGCTTCTGTGATAAGAAACTAAATGACTGGGACGAATGGTTACCTTTTGCTTGTTTCACGTACAACACGACACCTCATTCAATTACGAAGTACACTCCTTACGAAGTACTGTTTGGGAGAGTTGCAAACATCCCAGGAAAACTACAACGACAACCTCAACCTATTTACAATTTTGATGATATAGTGTTAGAGATTAAACAAAAAATGCAGACTTGTCAGCAATTAGCAAAAGAGAGATTAATAAAATTTAAAGAGTCACAAGGACAGAAAGTGAAGTCCAATAGTTATGAATTTAAAGAAAATGATTTAGCCTTGTTGAGAATAGAGAATAGACAAAAGTTGGACCCGTTGTGGAAGGGGCCATATGAGATAAAGAAAATTCAAGGTTCTAATGCCGTTATTCAAGAACTAGGTAAAAGGAGGCATCAGGAAGTTCATATTAACAGATTGAAACCTTACTTTTTTCATTCAATTTCAGAGAATGCAGACACTTAGGTGGGCGCTAATAATCACACTAATTATATGGTGGAAACTACTACAAGCTCAAAACATCGAGGAAGTGCAGTCAGAGACAGGAATATATTTTGATGAAGTAGGGACTTTACTATTTTATCCCATGAAATGGAAAGTGGTTACTTATATAAATTTGGAACCAACTCGCGAATTATGGAAGCAGACAAAAATTCATCAAAGGAAAGTTATGGACTTTTGCCAGAAAGTTAAAGACAAAAATTGGTATCATTATACTGATTGCGCAGCTTTCGGGCAATATATGAGGTCAAAAGGTAGATACATAGACAACTTAAAAGATTTGGTAGCAGAATATTGGGTAGACAACACTCAGAAATCAAAGAGATCAAAACGAGGCGCTTTAAATTTTGTGGGCGAAGTTTCGAAAATTCTATTTGGAACACTAACGCAATCAGATGCGAAGAACTACAATAAGCACATAAATGAACTAGAGAAAGAACAAAAAGAATTTTTGCACTTGTCTAATGAACAAATGACGATTATAAAAACCACCATCACCTCAGTAAATTCAACATTGCAAAAAGTAAATCAGAATGAAAAGGTTTTGAAGGAAGGCTTAGACAAATTACTTAACTTCAGTACACATAAGATAAATGAGTTAGAAGAAGAAATTGAAAACGTAAACTTGATCAATGAGCAATTTCGTTTGATACAGAGGGGTGTTGACGAGAGTCAACACTCATTTGAGATACTGATTGACGCCTTTGTCCACGCAGGGCAAGGTTCCATGCAACCACAGTTAATAACCGCAGAAAAGATAAAAAACTTGTTGGGAAGCCAGAAACTGCCTAGCGGATTGGATTACCCTAACTTTCCTTTCCCTGAATTACAGAAGATAATAACCCCTAAAACCTATTCATACAAGCAATATTTGGTTTATGTATTGGAAATTCCTTTGTTTTCACCCACCATATATCAATTGTATAAGTTACTACCTTTTCCTGTCATGGTGAAACGACAAGAATCTACCTATAGTTACATAAATTTCAATAAAGAGTATATGTTCAGTGATGCCTTAAGGCAACATTTTGGGAAAATGACAACTAATGAGTTGTCAGGTTGTTTTCAACCAAACGAGATCACTTATGTATGTAGGGAAGAGATTCCTATTTACACGTACATCCCAGAGGTGGACTGCGAAGCAACACTGCTACATCCATCAACGACGAGGATCCCAGACAGTTGTGAGTACAGATTTTTCAAACTCAGTAAAACTCTCTGGATACCTCTACATTTAAGCAACCAATGGCTGTTCGTGAATCCAGATGTAGAAACCTTTACCATCCTATGTCCTCATGAAACAACAACGGTAAAAATACAAAACAAGGGTAAATTAACCTTGAAACCCGAGTGTAAAGGATACTCATCCTATGTAACCCTATGTGCAATGTCATCAATGGTAACAAACTCAACAAGTGATTATGTACCATATGTTCCTGTAAATTTTGATTGTTGCTTCGAAGATTTAAAAGATGTAAACTTTGAAGACTTACCTTTGCATACTCCATTAGTAAATATCATGTCTTCAATAGACGACCTGAGAGTCGCAAGTAAACAAACAGAGGAGGTACAACAAATGATAAAAGACCAAGAAATTAAGCAGAACCAAAGGTTTTACACAGTTGCAACATCCTGGGGGGCAACAATGACAATAATTGGCATAATTGTTATGTGCATTTGCTGCAGCTGCTGTTGTTGTAAATGCTGCAGAAATGGTTTCTTTTGGATTTGGGAAAAGTGGACCCCAAGGGATTGTTGGCAACAAGCCCAAGATAAATGCTGTGTGAGCATTTACAATTACAACGGTTCTAAAGTAGAGTACTCAAAAACGAATACCTCTCCCGCCATATCCTTGAAATCATTACCCGAGATAGGCGACGTCGTAACAGAACAACCTAGGAAAGTCCATGCTGAAAGTTCAGATATGGAAGAATCAGAACCTATATCAACTAGAACAAGGAGCAGAAGAATGTTCCGTTAAAGAGTAAAAAGGAAAAGTTTTCACCAAATAGGCAAAAACTTTTTAGAGGAAGGGAGGTGTAATATGTGAATTGTAATTACATATCTTTAACACCTATAATGAGGTGAAACCAATTATGTCACTAATATAAATTTATCAATAAGGTCAACCTGTAAAGAGAGGATACCACATGTATAGGTAAACTCTCTAAGACCTAAAGTAATGATATATTTAATTATATTGTATCCGCTTTCAGTAAGAGTTTGTAAGACAGCTGTTTTTCTCAATGAAGAAACAAGAGATCGATAACCTTAGATCCTCTAAGGTTAAGGCGCTTAAATGTCCCAAACATAGCACGTGCTGCTTATGACTGTCGCTCCACGTGCCTGTACTTTGGTCCTGATCTGGGGCGTATTAACGAAATCTCTCTAATACGAGCATCTGCCTCGTGTAATCCAGATTGCGTCAGAATCCACTGTCATGTGCCCGGGCCTTTGACCGAGCCAACGCCCAGATTATTACTATAAGTACAGAACCTTCCGATGGGACGACATCAGACTTACTGATCACGTTGCTGAACGAATCTCTGTTCGCCGACGTTAGGAGTTGTTATCTGGGTCGTGGACCCTCACATCTGTATCTTCTGTATCTACTGTGTCTTTGAGGAGTCTAGTAAAACTTTGTCGTCTCTTCAGCATCCAGAAAGACTTAGATCTTTTTGCTGACCTACGCCATACCTCATCCTTTATTTTCGACAACTAGAGCTTCAACAGGTGACATCTCTTCTGCTGGCGGAATTCATCACCTGGTGCTAGCACTACTAAAGAAAAGAATTACATTACACTTGTTTAAATATGGAGCGTTAACAAATCGGTATATAACAGTGTAAAAAAGGCATGTCTACGAAACTTTTCCTGAATAAAGTCTTTGACAATGCATCAAAACATTCATGAGCTCATTGCAAAGCTTCACTTATACACAGGTAAAATGTTATACGTAACGCCTGGGATTTGTTTGAAACTCATCACAGGTGTCAGCCACATATCATGAAGTGTGCAAAAAAATAATTCTGAGCCCATTGAAACTGTATGAATTTTATAAATAAGTCACACATTCTTTCAGGTTTAACATTACACACTGTTGCACATAAACATAACTAAGCTCTAGACGCTTCATATAAAAACTAATGGTACATTAATTAAGGTTCAGAGTAGAGTAGATATTTAAATTTCACATATTTATGGAATTTAAAGTTCATCAAAGCACCACCTCATGAAATTTGTCATCAATGGAATACTGACAGCTATACTACAGCTTCAAACAAGTAAAAAGTAAATTTGACTCTGTGTTTAACTAATTAAGTACTATGCCATGAAGGTGTATGTGGGAGTGAATGTATACATCCACGCTTTCTTGACCTTGGCTCTAGCTGGAGGTGAGTGGTTAGCTTCATGCCCCTGCCACTTTACCACCTGAGAAAGAGGCGCTCTTTCCCATTGGGTAGGAGGCTGGGTGGGTCCCAGAGCCAGTCTGGACGACATGGGAGGTGTGAAAATTCTTGCCCCACTGTGACTTGAACTCTGGCCCATTGGTCATCCAGCCTGTAGCCAGTCATTATACTGACTAAGCTATACTGGCTCTCACATCAAACAAGTAGCATGCTGCTATGATATGCAGCATGTCTGTGTACATTAAGTGGCAAGGGTGATACCATATTAACAGGTTACAAAGATTTACTGTGCCAGCATCTTGAAGATGTCTCAATGTTTCACATTTAAACTTTTAAACAAAACATTCAACATTGCTTTTAAAGGTTCATTTCAGTGAACACTGAGCACACTGTGTTAATGAAGTAGTGAAATAAGAAAGCGTTTTCATAACTTAACTTGCAAATAACATGTGTTCCTTTAGCCAAGTTTTCCTGTTTCCTACTTCAAGGCCAGAAGTACAATATTATCAAACTGAACACTCCACCCCATCTTGAGCCGATTTTGAGACATTACTCCAAAAAGGAAAGAACTATTGCAGCTAAGACCTGGTTACTGACATAGATTTTCATGAACTGAGACTAAGATTAACATGTTGTGATCTACTTCAAAATAATTTACTGCAGTCATGAACTGAAGACTTACCGAAAAAACTGTTGAAACATATGCTAACGACTACCTAACAAAAGGCTTCATCATCTCATTCTTTGACCGAAATTATCTGCATTATATAGAGAAAATTTGCCACTCTGGTTAAATGAACAAAAAGAACCAAAAGTGAAGATGTTAATATCTGTAGAAGTGAAGAATAAAAATTAACAGCTTGAGAAAGTAGCAATTTATACAGTGCCAGACATCAATGCTTCATTAATCACAATGGGTGAGTCACTAATTAAGAAACCAGAATTAAAAGAGAAGAGGTATGCAAAAACTAAATTACAGAAAACTGACAGGACACTTCAGTAGAAAATGAAAACGGTGTACCTGCTAGAACCTTCTGACAGTGGCCAATGCTGGTTGAAACATGTAAAGGTGTACTTGTATATTTTTATACTGAAGTGGTTACACTTCATGGAATTGATATTCACTTGAATGTCAAGCAATGTGATGGCTCAAGGTGTCTTTTTCTAAGAATTGGCAATAGTATCAAACAGCTGGTAGCATATGCAAGTTTATGGAAACTGCAGGATAACAAAATACTGACTTGCTCAGTATTTCATTATGGGTGAATGAAAATTTCAGATCTATCGATTTAAGTACATTCAATGCAGATGCATTGATGAAGAAGACACCAGAGTCAGTCTACAGGCATGCTTTTGTGTGTAGCGCATACTTGATAGAAAAGAAAAATGTAGACAAACACAACTGGTTATGGGATTAATATGTATGGTAAATTTCACGACAATTCTCATCTTCAAGGCTCAGTGAGTGTGTTGGTTCTTCAAGAAGTGATTCAATATTAAAACTATAATGTTAACAGTAAATTACACTTCAAGATGCTGATTCTTCCTGCATTTCATCCTCTGAATCCAGTTTGCTACTTCCACTGCAGACTCGACACTTGCAGCAAACAATACATGGTGCGGCTAGGAGGAGGAGAGGAGATGCCACTAGCAACAGGATCCCAAACCCAGCGAAGATTCCAATCACTTGTGTTCGATGCCAGATAACTGAAGCTCGAGAATGACCAAGTTTGTTCTTACATGGACCTTTGTCATAATGTCTAAGTAGGAAGTCATCCTGAAATACAAGCAAAAAGAAAAATAAAGATTAGCTATATCACACACACACACAAACTTGCATGCACATACATGGAGTAGAATTAGTGTCTGTACTTTTGGTGACATCTAGTTTTGAGATCTTTGTTTCCTTGTTTTACTATGCCCACAACTACTACTACTAATTACGTATTATCAAAACTGTAACATAACCATTTCATTCTAGTAGAACAGTGCCTTTATATTAATAAACGCAACCATTTATAAACCAGACTACCCCCAAAAATATGTACTGTAATTAATAGGGCCCGGATTTTTATGACCTAAAAACTATAAATATATGCATGCACTTATGACCCAAAATTATGTCAAATATGACCTAAACAGTGTAAAATATGACCTTAAATATTAAATGGGACATAAAATTTCACAATTTTAATTAAAAATAAGAATAAAATTAAGAATAAAGATGATGAATATATGATAGTAGGTCCTACTTACCAAATTAGCCCTATTATGTCTCTGAAGGAAAGAAAACTGATGGAATTTCGACATTTCATACTGGATTAAACCATTCATTG